TCCCTATCCTGACCTCCATAGTTTTGTCATATCATAACTCTCTCCTTCTGTCTCAGTTTTTGCATTTTTCTCCCACTTTCTCTCCCCAATGCACATACACACAGGAAAACTTGTTATTATAACGCCAGTTGTATTATATAATTAAATATATATAGTAATCATTATTAATTATTATTAATTTGACTTATATTTTATATTGATTCGATATATATATATATATATATATATATAATTTTATATTTTATTAAATTTTAATATAAATAAATAAGTAAATAATATATATTTGTGTATGATAGCATATTGGCTTTTAATTTACACTCCCCATTTTCACACCTTGCTATCAGCGCGAGCGACTGCTCCACAGCGAATTAGTACGCAGTGCAAATTTCGCTGACAGCCAGTACATATTCACCGTGCGCTGCCACCTTTGGTGGTATTGGCGCGTTTATCGTTACGACTACGGTGTCTCATTCATTCACCGACAGCTCGTCGAGACTGTGCTTCTGCCTCCGCGGGCCGCCGATCTGACTTCCTCCATGTCGACACTAACTATGGACCCGCCACCTCTTTCACCTAGTGAGTGTCTGCAGAACACAAAAGACCTTTTAGGGTTCTTGTTAGGCCTTAAGCTATGGATCCTTATTCAGGATTTTTGTCATCATTAGTTGTAGATCCTGCTTGAAGGTAGTAAGCAAAATCGAACAATTTAACTATTTTCGATGATGCCTTTTGAGAATGGCCTCGATTATGTGCAAAAATTACGTTTAGTAGCAGTTGAAAATGCTGCTTTGAGCTACACTCCTTTTATATGAAACTTTAATTTCTCGATCAGAATCTCGCTCAGACCACATTTTTCGACTCAATCCATTGGCTGGGCTTCGCCATTTCATTCTGTAGAAAGTTCGACAATGGCCCTCCCGTGGGTTCCTTATGGGCCTATTATTCCCCCCTTTTCATAAACCTCATTTTTCTACAACCATTTAATCCGCATAGTCTAAAGGTTGGCGCTGAGCAGACTAATGCTGGCAATAAAAACCATTTTGAAGAGCGCATTAACAGTTGTCGATAACTTGAGATTTCAGAACCCAATAGTTAGAGTCCGCAGTCTCTGCTACCTTTGCTGCTAATTTTGCCTGGATCATTTCTTCTGGATGCCAGATCAGTGCCTAATCTTGAGTTGCAATCGTCGCAAATAACGAGGACTTACCAATGGGGACTCTGATCCCCATCATCCTCTGAGAGGTATCCAATTTTTTATGCTGTTTTGTTAAAGCCTTAAGAGCACAGGAACTGTGATTTCAGTGCCTATTAAATAAAAACTTTGTCATTTTGAGTTGACGAAGATGGTTTACCTGCTGTTACTGAATTTTTTTTCAATTACCTGAGTAGGCTCACAATTCCGTAACTCACTTTGTATTATCTTGGGTGGCTAGATTCTTATGAAGTACCTATGATTTCCAAGCATTCTCATACTGAGTGTAAATAACGTTGTTGATTATAATGACAGTAGACGAAATTACTTATTTTACGTTTTTTTATAAGTAAATTTTCGAAAACTGATTAATATAGTCGATTGCTATAGCAAATACAGCTTTGCTTCTTCGACAATCCCACCACAGAATGTAAAATATGAAAATTTCTGGCTTTCCTTGACATTCATATCTGCCCTGTTACCCAAGTGCACTCGTAGCGATGCGACGTGGTAGTTACAGTGTCGAGACTAGACGCTACGCTTTTATAATTCAAGTCCCACCAGGGGTGCTGATGAGACCTAGGCGAGGTCGAAGCCTCAGTCCACTCTTGTCTGGATGCGAATGCCTTTTGAAAAGCATGGCTCTGTGAAATTCATTGGAAACGTATGGTCTTCTCAGCATTGTGGGAAAATTCAAGTACCAGTCCCCTTATCACTTTAACCGAACTAAGGCGAATGCACCATATATATACAATCTACTGGTAGTTTCGAATACCTACGTATAAAAATGAAAAATTGTGACTACCTGTTTATCTTATTGGAAATCTTACTAGAAATTATGCCTTAGTAAAAGATTGACTTAAGATATTAGATTGGTGAACAAAGAAGATAATAAGTTGGACAAAGTCGTGTACAGGAAACACACATTCCTGGATGTCCTTATTAATTACTTATTCATTAATGCATATAGAGTTAAAGTAGGAGTTATGAAATCAATGCTAATAAGGAGACTGCGTCTGGCAGGCGTAAAAGATAGGGACCAAGATCTCGGTAAATTGATGCATATATAGTTTTAAATCAATTACACATTAGGATTAAGGCATAATCATATATCAATTCACAATAACAGGATGATGGGAGCTTGCTATTTGGTTCGTAATAAGCAGAAAGAGTATTCTACTCGGCTCCTGATTTTGCCTTCTTATCAGCTCGCAAAACGATTGAGTTACCTACTGATAAAGTAGAATATCAGAACAATGTATAAAGAAAAAAGAACACTTTCCTCAGTTTCGCCTTCTTTTCTAGAATTTTCCTATCCTCTTTCTAGATTAGACTGTTACTAAGTTCTCTGCTCAATTGATAATGTCTATGTGGAGGGGACTTCCTGACCCATACAGAAGAGATTATGCGTACACAAAACCGCTTGTTAAGGTCTATGTGTTCACAAATCTGAGATCGTTGAACACAAGGCTAACATTGAAGACTTGTCTAAAACACAACATTTTGCTGGTTACCGAGAATTCACATTTAATCCTAAGAGTTGTGAGTCTATAGGAATTAAGAAAACAGTCAGGCATCTCCTCATGAATAAGAAGAACGAGTGTGGAAGATGAAGAAGTAACTTTTTATGGCTGTTGTATAGGCTTAAAAAGGGGGCGAACGAGAGAGAGCAAGAGAAGGAGGCCGGATTAGCCTCGAGTCTAGCTGGTATTATCATACCTCGCATTACATGGACGTCTACATACACACAATAGGCAAAAGCACATACGTAAAAACGAGTCAATATTAAAGGATTGTACGCAAGTTTATTTATGTAAGGAATTGGCTGCCACTAAATCCACTTCCGGTTGATGAATTACCTTCACTCATCTGTAAGCATGTAGCGTAAGTTTGAGGTAGCCAATGAACTCATGGGATGCTTCATTAAGATCGCAAATACAAGTGCATTAAAAGTGACTAGGGTTGCAGCCAACCACTTTTTCTACCTGTTGAGCTTTTTCTACACCAACTTATAGAGTATAGCTTCTTGCTCTGATGATGTCACAGTACAAACGAAATCTTGGTATAGGCTCATCGGATTTGTACAACTGTGAGTCGATAACTTCTTCGCACACTTCAACAGTTTCGCTATTTTATTACCTTTTTGGCTTGAGTTATAATACTTACTCAGGCGAATTTAGGAAATTATTTGTACACGTAGTCGTCTAATCTGGTAAGCATATATCCGTGTGATCGTATGATGATGCGTTCCTGTGATTTTGTGCCGCTGTGCGGCAATCCTCGTTCGAATTCTTGTGGGACCATTTCATCAATTTCCTCCAACCAACTTTTCCTTCGAAATGAAAATTCCCATCATAAATTTATCTATAGTTTTCATATCATCCTTATCATATGGTGGAGGGTTGTAATTAAAACCAATTTGTTGTTTATTTACCAGTTCTTATGGCGCAATATTTACTAAGCGTAGGCATGGATTTCAGAATCTACGATCACTCGATTAAGCCTTCACCATTGCGTTGACGGTATCAGAGTTTGACTGATCGAATGACCAACTAATGTATACGCGGTGTCACCATTATCAGGTCAGAGTGGTTGGTCATTTTTATTTTCCTTGTAAAGCTGACAAGTTAGGCGCTACTTTGTGCTATTGGTCCCATGGCCTCATAAATTCGTATGCTCATGCATTGCTCGAGTGTGTTTCCTTTTTGGCTCGAGACACAAGACCGGCTATTGAACTGTCAGGGTAAAATATAGTCGAGTATAAGAGCTGTATGTTCTTGTGATCTTGTTCCAGTCTATTTGTGCATTTCTCTGTTTTATTTTACTTTGACCTAAAGAAGACGCCCTAGCTGGGCGAGCTGAAATGATATGATATACTCATGTGGGCATGTGGTTTGTGATCATTTTTTCCTCACTTTGGATCAGCGACTGATTTTCTGGCCCCATAAGATATAGTGGGATTACTTTATTTTGCGTGTGCTAAATGCATTTCTCTTTTGGCTTATGATAAAAGATAATTTCACCTTGTACTCTTGCATTCGTGTGTTGCTTGCTCCCTCATTTTTACGTGTGACGAAGCATCTGTCTTACGTTCCGCAGAGACAGGTTATAATCTTACGATATTGGGTTCTTGTAATGCTCCCTCTTATTTCCTTGTTGCCTCCGTGTTAAATGATGACTTGACAACCTGATAGGATATTATGTGATCGTGTCTTCATTGGATCGTCTACTCCTTCGTTTGTGTGCGTATGTTAGTGCCTTTCTTTATTTTCTTACCTTTTAGGCTTGAGCTATGACACTTACTTCGGCCGATGTAAGGTATCATTTGTAATCGTGTTATCTAGTAATCATATAATCTTGTGATCGTGTTATCATATGTTCGATTGATTCTGTGTCTGTGCTCCTGTGTGCTGGTTGGCTCTGTCCGTATGCCTGTATCTTCGTGCCTAATTGCGTAAATAAGATAACGTTTATCTGCTACCATTCTCTCACTTAGTGACACTGGTTAAGAGGTGCAAAGATGACTCATGTAAGTACTGGATATAAACGAACATGCGTACTAAACTGGGAAGTGTATGAGCATTAGCCTACATAAAAGCGCTTCGGCGCAAACTCTTCTTCGGCTAGGCCTGGCATTCGTTGTGACTGAGGTCGCAGTTCTAATTTCGGCTTCTTTCTGACTAAAAAAGGTTACATTAAGGATTTGCCTTGATGTCCAGTAAATGATACAGAGCAAAATCCGAGTAAGATGGGAGTAACGCCGACATATTACTTCTAACCGGTCTACAAATCTCGGTCGGGCCGAATGATTTAGACGGGAAAAAGTTCATGTTGGTTTGCCTCGTTTTTGCAACTTGATCGCAGCGACGGGTCGACATATTTTGAACGTACCTAATCCCACATCCTCCGCCTTAGAGTATTAATGATGATTTCCAGCTTCTTACAGTTTACATAGACATTCTCATGCACAGAAATAACTATGTTCAACAAGGTCTCCTTGTTTCTGCGAGTAATTTGCGAAAATGAGATCAAACCAGCAATTTACAACTAAAGGAGACTGTAACCAAACAAAAGGTTTCTCCATCTTGGTCTTCATATCTACCATTTTTTATATTGAGTTTTGACTCAAGCATGATTTGAGCCGTATTCCCACTTTGGGGGATTTCCTGAAAATACAGAAGGTGGCAGACAAAATCACGAAAAGGATCTCGGACTCGAATGAGACAGGGCACCAGAAGAAGCTGAATAAATATTGAAACTATAGGGGACCTAAGGTTAAATCCCCCTGCAAAAACGAAGTTGTCTCTACAATGTCGAATCTCGTACTCAAGATAAAACATCAAGATAAATTAGGGAATCTGTCTTCCGTCCTTCTTAACCCCGAAGCCATGGCGATCCCCATTAAAAGATTAAATTTTACACAATTGAAATTTAAAGAAGGCAACCAAGGACGTTTTGGTGAAAGAATGAAAAAGATAGCTTGAAATGGAAATCATCCCAACAATCTTGGCTCATCAAAAAATCCACGAATAAGATCAATATGACTAAGATATGTACAAAAATGAAAAGAAACGATTAAATTGTTCTGAAAGCCGCCAAGGGAGGGGATACAGTAAGGATGAACAGAACGGACTATACAGAGAAAACGTAAACTATTCCTGGGGGTACTACAACTTATCTATTGTTAACAAAAGACCCACTGGTAAAGTTAATAGAGCACTGCAAGAATTGATTAAGTAAATGTATATGAACAAAAAACTCGACAAATGGACAATGAATTCACTCTCACGAAAGAATACAAGAACATTAGTAGCATACGGTTTGCGGAAAATAAACAAGGAATGAGAGTCATTGAAACTAATAGTCAACAACAAACA